AAAAAATGAACTATTATCAAAACGTGCTTGGTTCATCTAAGCATTTGCAATACCAAGAAAGAAGCGCTAAAGACTTTTTATGTAAAAAGACAACAAAACGGATAATTAATCAATTTATATCCCAACGTGTCAGACAAGTGTGTTTATTTCGGTAATATGGCATGTTAAGGGATGGATAAGATACTTTAACAAAAAGATTTTGAGTATAATCCTTGATTCAATGATCGATGTTATTCTAGAATTCGACGGCAATTGAACATTAACATAAAAAATCCTTCTTACATTGTGAATGTTTTGTTACCTTATATAATACTACTAGCTGCGCTATTTCCGTTTATAAAACGAAAAAGTGCTCTATCCATTCTATGATACTTTCTTCTTTTCATATGTCATACTTTTTTTTAGATCTTTTGGTAGGAGTAATGAATTAATATATTCGGTAATCTGTAATTTTATTGGTGTTTGCAAATGATTACTGAATGCGGTTCAGAAAGAATAAGTACACACAATTTTAGACTCTTTATCGTGTATAAAAATATGAAACAAAAATTTTGATTTTTCTTGAGAGTAAAATAATTTATTTCTCACAGATTGACCAATCAGCCTTCGAGTTGTCTTCTTATATATTTGAGAGATGATGATTTATGTCAGTAGCAGTGACTTCGATAAAACAAACCGTTTGATTATATTTTTAAAAGAAGGTTGATTCTACCGTTACAACTCATTATTGTCCGGTTACAAATTAGATCGTGCCTTTACACCAATAAAAACCGAATGAGCTCACCATTAAAAAATGAACCAAAATCAATAAAAAAATCACGTAGAATCGATCATGCAAATCAAGAAAGATCCGTTTATTAACAAAAAGTCTCAGGGCCTCTTATAATCCATCTTTGTTTCCAATTTCTTTGTTCCCGCGATTTTACGTATCGCTTTGACAAAGTCCTCCTGACATACCGCGTCTCTGTCATCTCTGATTGCACTCATGCCCGCCTCGGTGCAGCAGTGTCGCAGATCGGCACCGTTGAATCCGACCGACAGCTTAACGAGCATGTCCAAATCAATCTTTTCTGAACATGTCATGTCCCTGATGTATATTTTGAGGATTTCTTTTCGGCCCGAGTCGTTCGGCAAAGGAATCTCAATTTTCCTATCCAGTCTTCCTGGTCTAAGCAGCGCAGGATCAAGAATATCAGGCCTATTTGTGGCCATGATCACCTTCACCTTGTCAAGGCTCGTAAAACCATCGAGCTGGTTGAGCAGCTCCATCAGGGTGCGTTGCACCTCCCTGTCACTCGAGCTGCTCTCTGTGCTTCTCTTTCCACCGATTGCATCGATCTCATCAAGGAATATTATGCATGGCGTTCTTTCACGTGCATACTGGAACATTTCACGTATCATCCTGCTGCTTTCTCCGATATACTTCTCGATCAGGGACGATGCCACCACCTTCAAAAAGTTGACATCCATCGTTGCGGCGATAGCACGTGCCAGCAGAGTCTTTCCCGTACCCGGTGGTCCGTACAAAAGAACACCCTTAGGCTCAGCAATACCCACCCGTTCAAAGATCTCTGGCGTGTCCAAAGGCAGCGTGATAATCTCCTTCAGCTGTCTAATCTGCTCTGCAAGACCGCCAATCTTCCCAAAATCAACATTGCCCGGATTCTCCTCAGTCATCGCAAATATACTCGGGTCAATTTCCCTAGGCAGCACCTTCATAATGGTCAGTGTAGTAATATCCAAGGCAACCCTCGTACCACCAATCAACAAATTCCTATCGATACTCTTCCTAGCACCTACCACGTAGCGTGGTCCCTGACTTGTCTTTACGATAAATTTCTCGTCGTTCACCTTCTTTAACACCTCACCCACCAATTGACCGACCGTACTCATCGCTTTCATCTGCCGTTCTGTGCGTGTAAACTCATCGTTAATTTCGTTCAGCTTTTTGCGGTACTCCTGTAGAAGAGAAAGGTGCTTGTTGTTTTCTGTGATTGCGCTGTGCAGGTTTGTGTATATTTTTAGTTGATCGGGTGATAACTCTTCCGACTTTAGTGACATTTTTAGGGGTACACGGACCAGAAATGTTTATATGTTTGGTGAGGGATGGGTGGCAAGAAAATAAAACAGGCATGGTGAGGGATGGGTGGCAAGAAAATATAACAGGCATGGTGAGGGATAGTAATTACGGAAAGAATTGGCTAGGGAGGTAAAGATGTAAAAAAATAGTATAACCGAATAGTGCGTAGAATATGAAGTATAAAACATGAATCATTCGTACCATTCATACGAACACATCAAGAATGTAAATTAATAACACGAATGTGTTCAAATGTACAAACAAATTTTAATCAATTTACTGCTCATTCAGCGTAGCTAGTGTTTAATTAACAGCAATAATTTTTAAAGCAGACTTTCTATTCAATGCTGGCACGAGGCCAGCAATTTAAGGTTTAAAACGAGGGGTACAATGCATGGCAGTACCATGTATGACGTGGTACGAGATAAGTTGTGGAACAGGTCCTTTCAATGCATACACCAAAAGTAACATTTTTATTGGTGCACATCTATTCGTTGCAAGCAATCGCATGATCAAATCTGAGGGACAGAGTTGCATGTGCAAAAATACGTAAACGTTCTTTCAAACACTTTACACACTGAAGAGAGTGTTCAAAACTAGATAATGTTAGGTAATGAACTGTTCGTAGCAATAATTGCAGTTGAGAAGATTTTTGATTGTTAAACTGGGGAGAAGAGGTTGATGTTCAGTACCACCTTTGTGTTTCTTTTCGTGATCTCTGCCTGAGAGGTGTGTATGGCATGTCTATTTAGTGTTTTGAATTATTAACCCCTATGTCGGACCAGGCAAATGTTGGAACATACGAAGAGGAGAAAAGGGCATCGAGGGAGTTGTTGAGGAGCCTTGACATCGACACACAGAAGATGGATGAGGTTAAATCGAAAGATATGCTCACATTTAGCAAGGAGATGGTTCAGGACAACGCGTTGCTGAGCAAAGAGGACTTCTCTTCGCTACCGGTCAGCGACAGCATCAAGGAATCTCTTTACATGCTAGGATACGACCGTCCTTCTGTTGCACAGCTGAGCACCATTCCGCACATCCTGAATGGCGAGAATCTCATGTTTCAGAGCAAGAGCGGGACGGGCAAGACCATTTCGTTTGTGGTTGGGACATTGCAGAAAGTTGTGGTGGGCAAGGGTGTGCAGGTGCTCCTAATCACACCTACGATGGAGCTGAACAGACAGACAAAGACCATCTTTGACAAGGTGGGTGGTCGGCTCGGAATACGTACTTTTATGGCGATGAGGGGCGAGAGGGTATCGTTTGTTGATGCCGAGGTGCTGATCGGTTCGCCAGGCGCCCTTCTGAATGCCATCAGGGCGTTACGCATCGAACAGATAAACACTCTCATAGTTGACGAGGCAGATGCCGTACTGGACCCGGAGGGGATGGGCGCGCAGACAAAGCGCATACTTGACATGGTGCGCTTTGAGCAGTTCCTCTTTTTCTCTGCCACGTACAGTGAACGTATCAAAACCCTCATTCTCAAATACGTACAGAGCATACGCGACTGCGTTGAGCCAGTGAACACAAAGCCGGATGATATAGGGCTGTTTCACCTAAAGATACACGATAGGCGCGAAAAGATGAATGTGCTCATGTATCTGTACGAGTTATTGGTGGTAGGTCAGTCCATAATATTTGTGTCGACCAAACGAATGGCCGAGATATTAAAAAAGCGGTTTGAGGCCGATCTCAACCGCATTGGCATTCTGCATGGCGATTTATCGCCAGAAGAGCGTGGGCAAATAACCGAAGAGTTCCGACACGCCAAGACAAAAATTCTGATCAGCACGGATGTGTTCTCGCGTGGAATGGATATTCCACAGGTAAATCTTGTTATAAATTACGATCTGCCGGTGTATCACAATAATGTTGATGTGAGTACGTATATACATAGGATAGGGCGGTGCGGACGGTTTGGACGTAAAGGATTTGTGATTGACTTTGTGTGTGGGGGTAGTGAGATGGGGGTTGTGGAGGAGCTTGGGAGAAAATTGGGGTGTGGGAGTAAGGGGATCAGTGTTGAAGCTTTGAGTGAAGTTAGTGGGGAGGGTGCTGTTGATGGAATAGGAAATGGTGTAGGTAGTATAAGCAATGCAAGTAACTTAGGTGGTGTAAGCAATGCAAGTAACTTAGGTGGTGTAAGCAATGCAAATGGTATGGGAGTAGAAATGAAACATGGTGCTGCACAAGGCAGAGTGGGCCTGCGAATCGATGTACAGAAGGAGGATGAAACAGAAAAGATGAACGAAACAGGTAAAGAAAGCAATGCCATTAGGAATAACAGGACGAGTGGTTGAATGGATGAGTATGCTGTGGTGTACGGTAAGGTACGTAAAATGGTGGGTGGTAAGACACGCCCTGTGGTGTGAACTAAAATTAAAATGTTTGGTGTGTGGCACGGCATAGCATTGATTAAATGGTTTTGTTAAGCACATGGCTGTGACAAATGGGCTCACACGAAAGGTACGTATCTTGGGTGGGAACGTGCGTATTAACATTTTTGGTGCGGCATGCACCTTAATATACGTTACCTTTCAAGTTGTTACGTACATTCATGAACGTCTGCTTGTTCACGCGAATTGCTTTGTTTTGAAGGGCCTTATTGATCAATTACCATAAAATTTTTAACAACGTTCTTAACGAAGGTATGAAATGTTTTATGAAAGGCCATGGATTTAATACGGATCTGCTGAACAGAGAGAATGCGGTTTACATCGTGTAAGAAATGGCGTAGAGGCGTATTCTCTAGGGAATGAAGATTGTGATAGGGAATTGGTACGTGCAGCATGAGGTGATGGATTAAACTGCTTTTGGTACAAAGGACACTGCCCAAAGTTGATAAGTATTGCAGGTCTGTACTTCACGAATGATTTGGTGTGTTTTATAAACAGTGCTATGATGTGAAGAGCAAGGAGTTGTTCTTGTGAAGCAGTTTAGTTAAGATTTAAAGATCGTTCTAATCTTAGATTTGAAGAAGGAGGTGAATATGTTTATTTGGATAGTGATAAGCATATTAATGGTAAATAAATACATTTTTTGATGAAATTGCGATGAACAAACGTGTTATATGAAGGAATGTGTTGGTGCTGTGCACCGTTTAGAAGCGATTGTTCATCAAAATTGGTTATTATCATTTTGAGGTGCACTTTTCGGTAATTTGAGATCGATCACGGTTACTTAACGAAGCGGTTCGGTACCCCGGGATAATTCCGTGCGCTAGAACGGTTTACCCCTTTTTACCATGACATTTGCGATGCACCGTCTTGCCAACGAACTAAAAACACTCACACTGCCACCAAACGTACAGCTCATATCATCTACACCCTCTCACTCGCCATACATCCACACCATAAAACTTACCGTCACTCCTCTCCAAGGCATATACACCAACCGTACGCTCATCTTTGAGCTGTGCTTCCTTCCATCGTACCCCTTCACAGGACCGAAAGTGTTCTGCCGGTCTAAAATTTACCATCCAAACATTGAAAATGAGCACGTGTGCATGAGGATGGTGCGGGAGGAATGGACGTGTGGGATGGGTGTTGAGGTGGTTGTTGGGGGATTGATGGTTGTGTTGGTGGAGATTGATGGGGAGGATGCTTTGAATGTTGAGGCGGGTGATATGATGATTAATGATTATGAACGGTTTGTGAAGATTGCAAGGGAATATGGACGGGATGTGTAGTATAAAATGTAGAGATGGAGTGAGTAATTTATTGAACACATAAATGTGCCTGAAGGTTGCAGTTATAGCACCCAAAATTTTTGGCTCAGCTCGTCATTTGAACACATCAATGACATCCCCGTCCTCAAACTCATTCTTTGCGCACCGCTCCCCATTCACAACGAAGTACCGGTACTCATCGTTCAGAACGCCATTAACACGTGTAATCATTGCATTCAGATCATCGCCATGCACCAACTCAATCTCAACGCTTTTGTTGACAGCATAGTTCACCTTCACCATTCTCTTCGCTGCCGTGCCTTCGTGTGCCATGGGCTGTGCTGTTGTGCTCCGTTTCGTAGGATCAATTATTTGCACAACATCACCGTTTTTGATGTTGAGCACACGCAGCGACGAAAATCTGCTCACGAAATTATGACCGAATTGCATTTTGTTCGGGGTGTTCTTGCACAGCATGTCGTACACCGGCTTTAATGTGGACGAGGACGGGATGATGAATGTGTGGATGGTGGTGTTGTGCAGAGCTGTGAACGTTATCTGGTCGGATGGTGTGCTTGTGCTGGCGGGTGTTACCACAGCCTGAGTGGTTGTTGCTGTGAGACATGACTGAACATTTGATCTGTCGTTATCCGCGCTTTGTTGGTTGAAATTGGCAATCGGTGCTCCTTCTACGCGTATTTTTCTGTCCAGCACCTGTTCTGTAGAATCTTGAACGGTAATATTACCAGAACGGCCGGTCCTTGCCATGCTTTCAGGCACAGTCTGTTCATTTCCCTTAAATCGCTTGGTATTGCCCGTTATTTTTCGGTCCCTGATATCTTTCATACAAAACTCTGCCATTTCATCCGTTTTGTTCTCGTTCAACCCGCAATTTACGGTTTTCCATTCCTGTGCACCATCATATCCCTTACATTCTCCTATTTTATCGCTAGAACACTTCTTCTTATCGTTTAATCCGTGTTTATCTTCTCGTCCATATACTTCTTCATAATTCACATTTTTACTTCTATTCCCATCCATTTCTCCGCAACTCACCCTCTTATCCGGCCTATAACCATCCACCACCCCATCTCCTTCTTTACCTTGCCCCCTCAAATTAATAACACACTTGCCACCTCTCTCTTTCTTCTTGATAACGCTCATTACTTCGATGTCGCCGTCCTTTTTCTTCTGGCAAACGATTTCTATGTCGCTTGAACTGCTCATCGGCATTTTCGTTTTATCGGGGATGTAAAATGAATCAATCAAATAGCCCGTCAAATTCTAATCGGCAGCTGTTCAGAGGTGTAGAAGACAAATGCTCAATAAATTTCCTTCATAATAAAAAACTGTCCGAGAAGATGTGTATGAGAGCGGTAAATGAACCGATTTTTAGCAAAGGGATGATGAGACAGGTGAGAAATGCATGCCGATGTTTTTACCATGATGAGTAACGGAGCGTTGATGAACGGTTCGCATGTTATGGGTGTTTGTGTACCATGGTGGCATACGGTACTCCGATATTTGATCATGATGCTTGTTTCGGCTGTTTAGCGCTTTTACCGTATTATTGCACGATCTGTCCTTAAACATGGTTGGTCAGAAAATTGGCGTGAAATTAAAAAAATAAGGAATTACGATTGATGAGCGAATGCAATCGCGATATGAAAGGATAAATGAACATAATTGTAGGGAAAAGGAGAAGATAATAAAGCATCTCGACGAGTATATTGCAGATACCTATGAAATGACTCTTCATAAGGAATGGAAACATACATTTATTACCATATTCTAGACAAGTAAGGGTGTATTGATGGGGTGAAGTATAACACAATCGTTGGTATTAAACTTTTTAGACAATGAAGAGGATGTGCTGACAAGTCGGCAAGTTTGCACTAGCAGATCACGGCTACCTGTTAAACTAAATTTACTTGCCACTGTACCATCCTTCACCCCACTATGCAACTTGCAACAAGGCAGATGGGCAGTAAAAGCCTTTAAATCAAAAGGTTCCACCGGGACTCGAACCCGGGCTGCAGGATCCAAAGACCTGCGTCATAACCCCTAGACCATGGAACCGTGTGGTGCCGTAAAATGCGCCTATATCTCCGTAAATGAATAGCAAAGTGGCAACAATGGATTGATCGATGTACTTGCACCCGCTATACTGTTGAGCTTGTGATATATCGCAGTGCGTATTTGTGCAGGCAGTAAATAAATGTCTTTGGTATTCTGAGCTGCGTCAGCCATCCTCGCATCCAAAAAGGCTAACCATCCATTCCACAACACCTCTCAATCCACTTTTCTTTCCCAAAACGACCTTACACTCACCTTTCCTCTCAAACATACGCATAGCAACCTCAACATCTCCGTTGTTCAATTCTACCTTGTAATCAAGAAGGAACAGCACGTATCGCTCCACCTCGTTGAGCTGCTTCACCGTTAATTTGGTCAACTTGGACCAGTCAGTGGTGGCGTACACATAGTCAAACAGAATCTTGGTTGTGATGATAAGTGACGCGGCAAACAGCAGATAATCATCCTTCAAAGACGAGGACAGCTTTTTCAGCGGTCCGTTTAACCGGCATATTTTTGCGTCGTATCCCACATTATTGGCACGTTCGTTCCGCATGTTACTATGTTGTACACGGCCTTTACATCCCATCTCGTCCGCACTCTTGCCGTTCAACTCCTCAATCTTCATCTCGTTGTACCGAACAACCTTCTTCATCACACAAATAGCACTGAGCAGCGCACAGAACGTGATTCTGCCGCTGACACAAATCCGATACACCTTTACCACGGTCTCTTTCGATCCAAATACGGTGTGCAGGTATGGAACGAGCGCACGTCTATGCCATTTGTACAGTTTTATGGTATCGTGCACGTGTATTCGCATGCTGGATGGATTGGCAATGGTTTAAATGTAAAATGGCATGATTGGGAGAAAGGAGAAAAAAATGTGGTTGGTCCGTTTCATTGGGTAATGATGAATGAATGTAGTTGGGCAAACACCGTGCCCTGTCACGGTGAGTAAAATGCACGACATGTTTTAATTAAATGTGTGATTGAATGGTTAATGGGATGGATGAGTGGTTACTTCTTTGAAACACGTTATTACAGCGATTCATAGACATGAGTAAATGAGAGAGGGAGATGGTGTTATAAGGAAATTAAAAATGAACTGTTCTTAATCACGTATTACGATACGGAGCGAAAAATAGAAATGGGCGAGACAAATAATTTAGGTGTTTGGTACGGTGTTTTATGGGTGCGTGTAGTACGCAGTGCATTTGAAGATATTTTAGATAAATTTGATTTAATACGTAGGAATCGTTATGAAAGGATGGCATTGAGATTTAACACAAAGAAATACGTTTGTAAAGGATGTTTCAAACTTGTTCTACTTCGGATATCGTTGAATTGCCACGGTTGCAGCAGTGAAATAACTCATAGAACAAAGCCGATCGATTATATTGGCTTTACGGCACCTTTCATACAAGACCTGTATTACACCTTTATCTGTTGCACTGTTTTGTTTGCGTGAGGAAATAAGCGACTAAAAAGCAACATGTGCACCGATAATAGGTACGCATTTATCTGGTGTACAGCAGTGGCACCATTTAAATGCTGATCGGAGACTAACAAGGTACATTTACTTTCTCTTTTATGAAATGAACTATGATTTTGTTGCTACTCCTGTTTATTGCTAAACCATGACATATCAAAGATTTTGAAAGTGTTTTTTTGTTGAAAAATTGGTACAAACCATCGATCAAGTCCTTAGCCATCATTAACGCTCCGACAAATGCATTCTTGATGCAATTGTTCGTAGATAATGAACCAAATGTAACGGTTATAACTAAATTTTCTAATTTTATCAGGTAGCAAAGACAGAAATGTATAATTCGCCGTTAGTACGTATGTTAGACGCTCATTTCTGCATGGACATTCTATTCATATCTTATCGGGGAAAAGTCTTTGTTGAGCACGTTTACAAGTAAATATACGTGTTATGGTCGTGTATAATGACAGCATATGAACGAGGTATAAACATTCGATACATTTAATGGGAATAGCTATAAATTTAGTGAACAGGTTCATTTTCTTCGTGCTCTGCAATGTTTTGATTTATCTTTAGCAGTGTAGCTAATTCATGGGTATACACTTCAAAAGCAACCAATAACTTGTTAGAAAAGGAGAATACGATAGCTGTGCAGTGGGTCACACATACATTAAATGAATATACTCCTATACAGGACAAGCTGAGTGTAAATCTGATAGGAACATCAAAAAATTCAAAAAAAAATATTAGAAATATTACCTAAACGGCATTTTAATACTAGAGCTGAGGTAACTTAGAGTTCAAAAAATATGTGAAACTGTGTTTTTAACACGTATTGTCTGACCGGCCCACTGATATTCCACAATAAACATCATCTTACAATGCATTTTTAGATGAAAAATTAAATCAAATGGCTATTAAAAGCCTTCTCACTGCTTGTGAACTGCAATATTACTCGATAAACTGGAATTTATAAAATATGATGGTTTTCGCTAGATTGGAGTAGCCTTTTAACGAATTACAATTCTTTATTCATGATGAAATTTCGATTTTTTGTCAAAGACCTATTTGAACTAAAAAGTATATTTGTTCGTCGTTGTTTTACAGGAGCTGCTTTGAATGAAACAATGAACTCGAATGGATGACATACTCGCAGTAATGATGTGATGGTAATATTTCTGCTTTGAACATTAATACTTTTACTATTTGACATGCGCTCTTCTCTAACTCACCATAATCGTTTTCAGGTTTTCATACCACAGATAAGATTTATCCTCCACACTATTTTCTTAAAATACGTACACTTTATAAAAGATCTGTTTTCCAACATCTAATGTTTGTTCTACGTGTGATTCGTAAATTTGCACCAGAAATAAGCAGTAAATAGACTAAAAACTCCCCTCTTGTATAGTTCCACCAATGCACATTCAAGCAAGACATTCTCATTGTTCGTGATCATATCGGCTCCCGAATACTATGATAGACGTTCCATAGCCTTTTCAGAGTTCAAAGAGTTACAGAATGGTATTTTCTGATTTGGATTTTTACAACTAAAAATTTTACATACAAGCTCTGGGAATAAAAACTTGAAGATATTCAACGGAAATACGCAGATAAATTGAATATAAAATCGCAAATTTGTTTAATGTAGTATTTTATATCACCATTATATGGAAATCAGAGTGTTATTTTTTGTCAATCAAAACGTGAGCTGCATCCATCAGAGTTTCGATGACACCTAGCCTAGCCTAATTCCACACGTATAGCTTGTTCTAGGTGCAAACTCGCTCATATTCGTGCCAGAAACTGATCGATGATCGCGATGCTGGTACAAAAAATAAAAGCTGAACAATCGGACAAGAATTCTGATTAAAGAATGATAATAGTACTATAAAAGGTATAGTTTGAAAAAAGAAAGAGACATTTTGAGAAGAAGAGATCTAAAGCGAAAATACGTAACTAATGAAAAATGAAAATCGGTGTAAGATTTTGTAATCAACCATTCAAAACCATCATCAAACGACTGGATCAACACACATGTACATGCGAGGTGTACTGCCGGAGCAGCTTCAAAAACAATAAAGAAACTGCGTGTGCAAGTGATTGACGTGAAAGTTGATAACACGAAATTATCAACAAGACAGAAGAAAGAACCATCGAAGTAAGAAAACTATGTTTTGGTGTTTGAAACATTTCTATGGACTATAACGAATACAATCGAACTTAGTAAAGTATTCATTTCAATAATTAAACCATAATAAATAATCGAAAGGTAATAAACATGTCACATGCTAAACTTTAGGATAAGATGATGAAACACGTTTCTTCCAAGTATGGCAAAAGATGAAATGATCAATTTGTCATCGCAAATAAAGCGAAGATAACGCGTAAAGAAGACAAAAATTTGTGCAGATCTTACTTTTTCTCTCATTTCTTATCTCATTTTAATGTTACATCAATTTTAATCTGTTTTTGTATTTGGTCGCCGAATAAAAAAATTATTTTTTCAAATATTCTGCACTTTAGCATTGGTTCTATACGAGAGCGACACGGCTACAGCAGTTAGAAAGAATAAAAATGGTTATACGTGTTTTTGATCAGCTTTCTCTGATAAATTGATAATGGTACGTTTAATTAAAGTTCAAAACATTTCGAATGGCCAAAAATAGAATAATTTGTTCTTCATGTGGGAGTTCGTGATCACGGTTAGACAAAAAACGATTTGATTAAAAATTGGCTTTAATCGGAGTTGTTTGCAGTAACCATTCGAGGTGTTTTCGGCAATCTCTCCATACATATCTTTGATTAGTTGATCATCACATTTTTTACTGATAGTTTTATTTTCAATCCGTGGTTATCAGTCACGTATTCATCAGTGATGATCATAAGATCTGTGGCTCGTCATGTGGCATCCATCACCATCCAGATACAATACGGAACCTTTAGACAACAAGTTAACAACGCAGGTTTCCTGTGCTATCGCCAAAAAACTCAGTATTTATTAAAAATATAATTTTGAAGGTCTATTGCTGTGTCACAGGTTCATCTTTTTCTGTAAACACTTCTGTCTATCCTCAAACGGTTGGATAGAATGTAACAGGTCATTCTTTCCATCGCGTTTCTATCAATTTCCGGCAGAATATTTCCTTTTTCAAATTTGAGAAGGCCGTATTTCGTGTACAAATTCACATTTCTTAATTTTAAAGCCTCCACATGGTGATCAGACATAAGATCTGGGTGATTCACGAGCGTGCTGTTTAGACTTCTGAAAAACGGGAACTCCAAAATGCCACGCTTATCAAAAATCGGCTGAAAATACGATATTATGTGATACGACTTGGTTTCGTGCTTAATAGATATGGTTTTTTTGAAGAGCGAGAACTCATCGTTTTGCATCTGGGTATGGATGGAGATAACCCGTTCTCTCTTGACCGCATTTGCGTTTCTCTTCTTTATCGCGCTCTTGCTGAGATGCTTGGGCACTTCTTTGTAGAGAAGGAAATGGCCAAGTATTTTAGAGGGAGACCATATCTTTCCGTCTGTCCACCGCTTGATCCCGCTATCGTCCTCGATAAACACGAATATACATCCGCTTTTTATGTTCTCTCTGTCTGCGTTAGACAATCTTTCTTTGATAGGCTCGATTATACCTAGCCTTACAGCATGTACTATTAAAGATGCTTCATTATACGAGTGTATATATCCTCTAATAAACTTCATGATGTAGGGTTTTGCGTTGCAATTAATGCTCGAATATAAAAATTTATAAAAAATTCTATATTTATAAAAAAATACTTTATTGGGTAACACGATGTAAATCTTAGCTAATCAACTGTTTTCAAATAAGGATTTTGCAATTCGTTAGTGTTTTCTTCTCTTTGGTCATGTTTCCAATAATTTGATGTTATGAGTAGGCGAGATACCGCTAATTTAATTATGAATTAAGTTCGTATATTTTTATCTCATCATTGGTGGCAATTTACCGGGATGATAGGATAAAATAGAACTAGTTAATGAGTGAGCATGAACGCAGCGAGATGACGGAGCCACAAAAAGGAGAAAACTTCCTGATTTGAGCCTTCTGTAGTGGAAGAAAGAAACGGGTAAAAAAGGCAAAGAGTATGTAACAGGAAGTAAAAACAAAAACTTTGTAGGAAATATTGTTCATAATACGAATGAATAACGATACTTGATAATGAATTGTGTTTTTCCCTGGATAAATATGTGAATCTAGCACTGTAGATGTATCATCATGCAGAAGTCCTTCAGATGGATCAATCTGTGTAGATATTTTCATAAGAATTGAAAAAACTTTCTGATCAATTTATGTCCGAATATGGATGTAATATGGAAAGAAAATCTTTCTCGAAACTATGGAAAGAGCCGAGAACTATAAAACATGTTATAGCTTCGTATGTAAAGTTTAATTTAAAAAGTAACAAATAGTATTTGGAAATATCTGACCAATATATGTCTTGTTAGTGATAAATTATGTTCTTAATGATTTTGCAGATAGATTTAATGCTTGATACGTCACAAATTTGTCTTAGATCTTTTCTGACTCGTCTAGTACCCTAATTATTAGCTCATAGATCTCCATTTAACGATCAGATGTGCAATTTTGAGAAAGATTGCTTCCTGTAAAGCAGCATATTAAAAATTATTGGCGATCCCACAAATTTAATTAATCTGTCTGGTATGTGATGGCATTTAAATAAAATTTTTTACGCGGATAACAAATATCAATTTTGAGATCAACAAGTGCTCAGTTGGTTTGGTAAAAATGAGCAACAGTTCCACCAATTATTGCATTCTCTGAGGTAATTTCTGCAGCAGATTATTATTTTTTCATTTAAAGATACCAATTTTTACTATTTTAGCATAGCAAAATAATCCATGAATGTATCATCAGTCACTGCAACACGTCCATTGACTGGGAATGAAGTTTATAGGTGAAGTATTAGCATGTGATCACATAATCAAGGAGTGATGTGATGAATCGTAACCCAGAATTCCAAAGTGTGCAACTACACGTTCAAAAGACGCAACATGAGAAGAACAGGAGGATGCACGAGTTCGCTCGAACAGTTACCACTGCTATCGAGACCGTCACGCTCGACCAATTGTCTTTAACATCAGATTTATCGTAATCGATTCACACGTCTGGTGCATTCTTTTGATGGTCTCCAGCAAGTGTGCACTTCGAACAAAAATATTTAAAACAGGATCTGCTATCACACACCGCCTTTTGTGTGTCAGAAACACTTTCTCGCGTCGATCTACAAAATCTTGAATGTTGCTGTTTCATGGTGCAGTACCAACCAATATTATACTTTTTTGCTACAGGAATTGTGTGTAAAGAAAACTATTAAACAAGTGTTCGATAGCAAACATAGTAATTTGTCGCTTCTACTCGGGTCGTACCACAAAAATATTAATTATACCTTGTTCAGAACAAGAACACCGGCGTATAAACATTGCAAAGTAAATAAATAGCAGAGAATAGAATTTCTATTTCCGCAGCGTTCTTTCATATTTGATCGGTGATGTACAAGACATCCTGCTCTATCTTTGTTTTAATCATGGAATCAGGCTTTTGTTCAATATAACAAGTTATATATGAGAAGTAACCAAAAATTGTGAAATTTTGAACAAAATATGGCGCGATTATAACCTCAAGCCTAAATTTTCGATAAAACACTGAATTTTGTGTAAATCATATCATGTAAAACGATGGTGTCTGCATACAGGCATAATGCAGTTAGAACAACATGATAAATGGTTTGATACAACAATATGAACCAATTAAGAGCCTGTGTAAAGTGCTGTTCACACACGTTTACGATGAAAGACTAGAATGTAAGAATTAACGACGGGTAAATTTTGTTGCATAGTTCCCATGCACAAACTTGATATTATCTATAAATCCGCCGATATATTAAGAAAGTGTTACGAATTCATATTTTTGGTACGTATTTGGATTTGCAAAAATTTTATGTTTTTTAATGATTTTTCCGAAAACGAAAAAGATTGCAAAATTTATTAAATCGACATGATCACCTAGAAAGATCATTAAAGAACTCTTAAATCTCGTTTCACGGAATTTTCAGTGGGCAAAGGACGAGTGCTTATGCTGGAACTGTCTTTCAACCGTTATTTAGGTGATCTACGATCGAATACAACCATTAAGATTGTCTCAGTGCTATTTAACTGCGCCAACCAAGCGAAAGCATATCATTACTCTAATTGCTGTACAAAAAGGATGTTGTTGTGCGACTGGTAGCAGCGCAAATATTACCTTTACTCGTATGTTTTGGATTGCAGACTGTTCTGTCCCAAGCTTTAGCTGTGCCGTGTAAATAACATTAGAAAATAAACCGAAAAAGTAAAATTAGAAGCAATTTATTGCTGCTGCCACGTTGGTCGATCCCATGGCGCAAAGAATGCTACGTGTGGTGCTTTGGTAACACAAAAATAACGTGACAATATCTTTGGTGATGGTAGTAATCGCTGATTATATTGATCGTGCCGATGTTAAACTATTTAACATAACATAAACGGCAAATTAGTAAATACAAACTTACAAGATGATAACTATTTATGACCGTGGATAATGAACATAGCTTGTGTGTTGGTACCGCAGTACACTTGAAAGGTACTTTTGTGCTGTTTAGCACCAATTAAGTGCCGATTGTTAGAGACAATCAAAAAATCTTGTAATATGTGCCAGTGGCGCAGGTATCTGTCGTTGCCCATCTTCAAATGTTGTATGATGACCCGAAAATGGTAAAAATTTTTTACGCCAACAAAAGAACTCAGAAGTTAATAAATGCTTGCTCAGCCATACGTTTTAATTTGAGTTGCTTAGTATGTTCTAGCACTGTTGCCTGCATTCATTGCGAATATTTGTGGTAAATTATAATTTAAATCGGATATTGTTAGTAGCGCTCATTGCAATCGATTCACTTGTTCATAACAAAGCGGTAATGTGCTTAGAAGAACTTGTGTAGAGGGAATGTCTTATAAAGCAGATCATATGCTGGTCGATCATCTGTACAGAGGTGATATAATATTGGCAAACGATGCCATGGGCCTACGATTCTTTAGTGCGCAAGAATACACGAGCCACAGGCACACACCTCTATTATCGGCAGTGGCTCATAATGCCTGCAAGAACAGGCAAACAGTGGTTTATTGGTGATGCACAACGGCGCACCTAAAATAATTTTCTCTCCGTACATAGATGGAGAAAGTAAAGGGCGCAGGACATGTGGCAAAGAAGTGCGTTATAATTTATGGTGTACGCACATCGTCCTTTAGAAGGGTTTACAATGGCATCAACCCTACTCACGCCTTACAAGCACCTCGGTCGTTGTAAAGCGAGCGCTCTACTACGCAATTGGTCGGAGAGCGAGAAAGAATTGGCGTAATACGAGAGGAGTGGATGGTGGAAAGGAACAGCACAACCTGTTGATGGTAGTGGTAAGTCTTTAAAGTCCGGTGGCATGGCCGGTGGTATTGAAGTGACGTTTAATTCTCTCCTCATTTCGCTTTTATACCAGGTATATTTTTGTAGAGAGAGTGCAGTAATTCTATGTTAGTTGCACCAGAGCACATGGCAAATCACGCTTCCAGCCTGTGGCCGTACCTTTGTATTGAATATAGCAATGTAATCGTTGTTCGTTTGAAACACCGTCATTTACAACACAAAAATTAGAATTTAACGTTTAATACCGCTATAGATCGCAGATTTTAGTACCAATAATATTATTTTTAATGCTAAATTCATAAACTTAGACCACACGAACGTTGCCATTGCAATCGTTATCGTGACCACCATCTTTATTAGAGCGTTTAAGTTTCGTCATGTCAGTAAAAATCAAAGTGATTAATCAATATGATGTCTAGTAATGTTGAATATCCAGCACAATGAAATATATTCTTGTGCTGGGATGGCATGTACGGCATCGTGGTGTGAACACAACCTTAACCTTTGAAATAGGCCTTATCTCATCTTGTAGTAGAAACAGAGCCGCTCTGAACGCAGTCATGGCATGTTAGCGTATGGTACCGTATTTCTATCGGTTTTACTCATTTTTGAACGGTTATACCAAAATGCTGCTGATGTTTATTTTCTAGCTAAGCTGGGCTGATAGAGCAATGTGCATGTGAAAACAACTTTTTACCAACAAAAAGAGCAGTACGTGTTTGCCAAGGTGCAACGTATCATCTTTATTTCTTGTGCTTAAATTGCGGAGGAGCACAATTTTATTAAATTAGCAGTCTAAGGTGTGTGGCATGTTGTATCAAAATGTGGCAGTTTTTTTCGTGCACAAGTACGCACGTATTTGTTTCTTGGTCCAATATATGTATTGCACGGTGTTTTGTGGCGGGCAAAATTCTACTGGTACGTTAGATACAGTGCATGTATCAGAGAAGTATCAACCAATACGCTAAGATCACACCGTAGAAGAAATAAAATGCGTTCCACAGTGACACATGCTAATAAGGTGAATGTTGTTCAAGACCTGGACAGATGCCATTTTTCTTTAACCTTTTCAAAACATTTCGTAGCCAAGAAATAAAAACAATATTTAACATGAAGAAGAACTGCTGTAGCCATTAAAATGGAATTAAACGGACCTTCCATGCTTTTTCATCGAGCACAGGTCCATGCCACTGCACCCATTCGTATTTTAATCAGTTGCTTGTGATGAGTAGTAGCTGCAAATCCGTTGCGTGTCATTAACTACGAATAAATTGGTGCGTGCGGTCAATCCAAGGTATATTTAGGAGGAGGACCAATAAATGGTGTGGAAGATGTGATGTGCGGGTATAAAAAAATTGCTGATGGCGTATGTTTGTTGTTCTGTGGCAGAGCAAAGGTTTTCGCTGTTCTGTGGCAGAGAAAAGGGCAAAACAAGTCTTGCTATACGCTTCAAGGCATGTAAAGTATTTCCTATTTCCGTTACTGAGCGTTTACGTAAGTTCTACAGAAATGTTCATCCGTTCTTTAGCACCAAGATCGTATCAGCACAATCAATCCCATTTTCACGATTACTTTCCCGCTTTGCTCTGCCATAACACACAATCTGAGTGTGATCTGTTGCAATAATCGTTTTACCACCATTTTAATTCCACACAGTTTAATTACAACGTTTCACATGCAAAAGGTCATTGGTTGCGTGCACCGGCACAGTAATGAAACAGCGTCTCGCACAATTTTTCATGAAAACATGCCTTCAGACACGCACTCACGTATTATTATCACCTGCACAGGTACACCCGTATGAGCCACATCAAGTTTTGCCCGTCAACTTTCCACACAAAGAACGCCCCGCTATCGTTAAGGCACAGCTCTGTTCTTATTTTACGCATTTCTGATCTTTCAGAAACACAATCTCACCGGGACAGGAACAAAATTGTTTTATGTGTTGCACGACACGCCTGATTGGTAGAAATCAACACACTGTAGCAACGAAAAAATATATAAAAAAATATGTGAATACTAACAATATGATTATTGCACACACTTTACTCCATTTTTTCATATTGGTGTCTATCATTAGATGTCGGGAGAAGGAGGAGCCCGAAGAGGACAAGAAAGAGCAGAACGGTTCTGGCGAAAACATGGATAAGAACGCAACCTGCCAGACCTATTCCATCGAAATGGTTGAAGAGGACAAGAACTTAGTAGGCATAAATCCAGAGGATACAGAGGTGTTCCAGGAGGCGAAGCGCAATGGACTGGTACCCGTGATGAGTTATACAATGTTCGGCACACCCAAAGCAATTAACCTCAACCAACTTTTACCTAGCAATTTGAATGCATTGTCACAGACACTCATAGCGAACATGGGAAACTCTAGCGGTGATTCGAATGGTTCTAGCCCACAGTTCACCTTCTTGGGTGGCGTTGTGGCCAAGACCATGGATAAGAATGGTTCGGAAGGCGATAATAAAGATGATAAGGAAAAGGACAAAGATAAGGAAAAGGATAAGGAAAAGGATAAGGGTGGAAAGAAGGACAAAGATGAAGGTGGACAGGGAAAGTCAGGTTCTGGTAAGGGACAGGGCGGTGCCAAATTAATTCAGCAGATGCCAAGTCTGAGAGAAGGGCTTGCAGACAGAGATGAGGCAAGCGAAACGCTACTAATGCCGAAGGATGAATGAACGATTTTAAGTAAACGATTTATGTAAAAATAAATTTGGCTTAAGGTGCATGAACTGTTTCTCATAGCAGGAGCACAAAACGGTTCTAACCATTTTGCACACACCTCCGTCAACACTTTCTCTTTTCACAGGCAGTCATGCCCGTTGGCCCGACACAAAAAACCGCAGCAATGATTGAGTTCAATAACACTCCTCAAAAATGCTGTGTTCGTGCACCATCTCCTGTGCTGAGCGCAAGTTTACGTATGGCTGTTCAAATGAGCAGGCATCGTGGTCAAGAAATGATGAGCTACTGCAAATAAACACAAAGCCAAACGACACAGAAGTAATGCTACGGTGATATACACGCAATCAAATAATAAACAGCAGCAAGAATGTTTTCTTTGCTGAAACTTTGTGTTACACAAAGCAGCGGAATAGCTACTGTGTAGAAAATGTTTATCTTGCAATGGTTCATGGCTCAGTACCTACCAACTTGGAACAAAGAATGTTAGTGTTGGAATGATTTGTAGCGCCTACATGAGCAGGCCACCCTTTTAAGTTACGGTACATTTAAAACAAACAGTTCATCCTGGTTTGCAACGGGTGAAAGGCGCTAAACGTATGGGCACAATTCAATAATTGCGTATTTCGAGCAAAAATACGGATTCACCTCCTCATACAGAACGCATTTAAAAGTAATCTATCATAAGGGAAAGATTGAACGTATTTTATCGCTAAAGTAGGTATGTAATGAAGAACTTATCGGTCATTCGAATAGAGAACACGGGTGCAAAATTATTCGCCAAAAAAAAGTACGTGCTCGAACAAGAAAACAGGCCATAAACAGATAAACACACCGAAATAAAGGAATGTTCCCTTAACTGATGAAATTTTATCACACTATCTCCGCTGCAAATGAATTATTTCCATAATATTTGTTAATTAAATCACCCTTTGTACAACCTGTTTAAAGAAAAGTATATTTCTGTTAATTACACTTTAAACGTACTTAACCTCCAATCTGATCAACATACATGAAGAAGTACAAATATTTGTATTTTTATCGGTATTCGAGCACTTGGTACGCACCCCTTTACATTCCATGAACTGTGACCTGCTCAACAGATATTTTACTCGTATTATAACCGGTGGTACATTCATCTTCTTGTGATTATAACAGAAAGTGTTCTGAAAACGCGTTGTACAGCAATAAACACTCTATAATCAACGCCGTATTAACACGTTTTATGCTTCGATATGTCGCACTACCGATAAAATTATAAACGTGAATATTTGGTGAATTGCCTTTTTTCCGTGTTCTAAACTTTTTTGTTTTGGTAGGTGCCCTAGCGTAGAAACAGGATGTGTGTCCTTGTTAAGAATTTAAAGATTAAACTTGAATAGCAACCCTTCTAGTGGCAGTGCCATGATTGTGAGCAACCGATCAACTCGAATTGATGGTGCTCTTGGTGGTTTGCACAACCTGAACACCTCTGCCAAAAATATCGGTAAACCCAAAATAAACGCCCATTCTAAAATGTCTTTTCTCAATCGATCACATAGCTCGGCATGTCCCTACTACAAAAAATACCAGTTCAGCAATGACTATCCTCCAACAATTACCATGTTCATCCAAAACCATCCACAAAAATAAAATTTGTACACAACCCAACCCCATGAGACCACGTACAACGGACAATGCCCGGCTAACATTCAACCACAGCACCATAAAATCGCTCAACATAGACAAAATACGCGCACTCATCCAATCGATCTACAATTTCAAAAAGAAACCGTCATTTGTAAAGGTGGCCAACAGATGGAACATGAAATCGTTCAATGTGCTTTTTTTGGTGGATGAGTGTGATGATATGACGGGCAAGATGGGTTTTGACGGGAGTTCGTTCGTTGCACGGAGGATGCCTAAGCTACCACCATTTTATACGGTGTATCCCTTGCAGGATAATTTCAGCGTGCATGAGATTGAACGAATTGTTTTTAAGGATATAGGCGAGGATGTACGACCAGATATCGGTGTGCTCAAGCATGTGGAGTATTTCCGACACTTTGTTGTGAAGGATCCGTTCAGCATTTACCTGGAGGATGACCGGTTCGTTAATTCGGATATCTCGGTGTCTGAGGCAAATAAAATCGATTGGAGGATGTATAAGCGTGCGTACAAGCACACGGCACATAAACTGATAGCAATGGACTGTGAAATGCTCGTTACGGACGTAGGTGTTGAGCTGGGCAGGGTTACCCTTCTGGACATACAGGGCGACACTTTGCTCGATATCTACGTCAAGACAGATAATACAGTAGTGGACTACCGCACCGAGTATTCGGGGCTGTGCGAAGAATCGTTCAAACAAAGCGTATGTTTTGATGCAGCGCAGTCCATGGTTCTTGAGCTGATCGGTATTGATACCATCTTGCTCGGCCACTCGCTATACAACGATCTGAAAATACTTCAAATCAACCACGGCAAGCTCATAGATACGAGTCGCTTGTTCAGGACACGCGATAACTACAAAATATCGTTGAAGAGCCTTGCCAACAAGTACAGGTGCATATCCATACAGAACGGCACGCACTGCTCGTATGAGGATGCATATGCCTGTCTGCAGCTGCTGTCTATCAAGGTACGAACGTTATATGAGCTGTTCAGTTCAGAGCGTTACTTTGGGTTTGTTAAGGTGGACAGGAATGCCGGTCTTGAGAAACTGAAAGTGAGCGAAAGATGTGCACGTACTGCATTCATCAGTATACGTGAGTTAGAAAGCCTTGATGTGCTGGAAAGGGTCAATAATTACTACATCGTTATTTATCGGTGCAAGGGAAAGGCATACGCTGGTGTTTATGACAGCAAGAGGTGACAGAGCAAATAATAAAGCTATTTTACACCTCAGCAATGTATAGCAGAGCAATGTGCCGGATGTTGACACGAATGGACCACCCTTTAACGTGTGGTACCTCCTGGAAGTGACATGTAAAGATCATTCTCCATTCTCTAAGGGATCACCCTCTGTTAACATTTACACACTTACTCATCCTTTCCATTCCATCCTTCTAACAACCGAACCGCTGATACATCATACCTGGTGCCGACCCCATTGCTCAAAAAAATAACCGCCAAACCAACATTTTTCTCATCCCCTGCATGGATGAAAGTACCACAAGACGGCGCGAAGTTGAAAGATCAACAAAAGCATACAAATTTACAATAACCGAAGAGCTAATGATATTAGCATCGCTAAGAAAAAAAATATACAAAATACTTGATCCGCTATCCGTAGCAATACGTGCATGCATACTTGCTGATCTAAACTATCAAAATATTGTAACTATGGACTATAACAGGGGATGTGTGGTGGTGAAAGGGAATAGTGCGATTGATAATTCTTTGATGGATGACGTGGCGTATAGGATAGGACTGTACAGGGCAAGTGCTAGTAAATGGGTCAGGCTGTTGAACGGAGAGTCGTACAAACGGTCGGAGTTTTACCTTAAGAAGGTGCGTAAGCGCGTTCTTGTTGAGCTGCAGAGCAAGAATGCGGTCAAGTTTGAGAGCAAGTTTTGCTACAAGGTTGATGTTAACCGAAAGGTTAGAGAGGAGCTGACAGATAGACTGGTGATGTATGTTGATGATAAGGGCACCGATGTGCGTGATGATGTGCTGCTGGTTGCCTTGGAGTACTCGGGATGCTTAGGAATTGTTTTCAGTGGCTGTAGCAAGAAATTTTACGAGAGATTGAAAGGCAAACTGTTAACCCTTAGGAAATCGTTGAAGGACCGTCGATTTATCGGAGACGACCACTGCGTTATGTACGAGGTAATGAAATTCATGTTCAAGGACCGCTAAGGACACACGTACGTAACAACTCACCCCATCAGTCTAATCCTCAAGAACTACCCAATCAAATGAATGTATAGCAGTACGCTTTACCACCACGTAATAAATTAATCCGTAAAATACTACGTGCCGTAATGCACCCCGTTAGTCCACACCAATGTTTAGCACCATCACTATTCTTAATAACCATTCCGCACCACATAAACAATAATTGACAAGAACACCAAACATTCCTACTCCTCTACCGTTCTCAATCCGTTCCATCTCATGATAATACCTCCAACAGCGTGATGCTCTACTACGCGTAATACTGACGCAGCAAACATGCTGAGCTAGAGCAGGAACAGTTTATACCGGTATAGTTATTTAAAACGATATTTTCTTCATTTTAACACTAAATAAACAACTTTCTACACCACAAATAATCGATGCATTGCCTTACGCTACCTGTCCGGTACATGGTAAAACACTCCTCCGCTATTTCACCCTTTTCCCTTTCTACGCACCCGTCATGTAAAATGAACAATTTCCTACGTACCAAGATCTTACTTCGCAGCCGTAGTACACCACCAATTCAAATACGTAAACGAACCGTTCTTACACCTCAACCTAACTCAATTGCATGTTACACATAAATTATATCAATACCTCTTCACATTCCGTGCCCCCTCTAACATCCCTTTTTATACACAGCTCCTACCATTCCACACTTCTTCCGCCGTACCAATCTTACCTATTCTTGTGCTCTTCCTCCTCATTCTTTTCAGTCCATCCCTTCCTGAACACCATTCTCTCTATCACCTCATTCAGCCCTATCTCACTCTCATTTATTTCTTTCTCATCTTTTTTCTCCAACCAGTTCATTCCTCTTCCTCTGTATCTCATGTTTATGCATAATACTTCCCTTTTTATTCCCAAGGTTAGCCAATCAGCATGCATGTCATCAATTCTCGGTTTAATTGGAAGTGATGAACTATTCTTATGATTACCGTTACGATTGGTACATGGAGGGCAATCATTGTCTCGGCATCAATGCATTAACCATTTATGTACAAAAAATTATTTTTGTTTAGTGCGTTGCATAATTTGTAATTTTTGATCATCGTGCATTAAAAATGTTAATTATGCAGCGTACACGCAGCATTTATACTGCTCATACCGATGAAGTAAACGTACCGTTCATTTGATGCAAAGTAGCGCTCATAACAGATCGTTCAAGTGAATGAGCCACAATCATGCTTTTCATTTCCATTTGTACCTCTCTCAGAACAAACCACTTTATCTGCCATCAACTCGTTCATTAACCACTATTCGTTTATTACTGTGCCAATCAATCTGTCAAACTGCTCCATAGCAGATCAGTGCTGATGGAATGCTCAGCACAATACATGCATAAATAAATTTTATTCTTCTGATGCATCAACCGGAGTGCACATCACGGAGCGTATTCATTGGTGCTTGACCGGATGTAAATCGGACAAGCTACTTATGCTGTTCGCTAGCCGTTCTTTTTCTCGTCATTTTTATGCATTCATCTGCACTATTTTTGTTCTACTGGTACTGCTGATAAATTGCATTTATTCTCTTACGGCCTATTTATGCATAATTTGGATGTATTATCATCCTTTTTGTTCATTTATTAGCTTATGATATTATAATGATGCTTTTTATTTCTCAGCAGTAGTTTTATTCCTCAGCAGTAGTTTTATTCCTCAGCAGTAGTTTTATTCCTCAGCAATAGTTTTATTTCTCAGCAGTAGTTTTATTTCTCAGTAGTACAACCTTTCTCATCAGTACAACCCTCCTCATCAGTACAACATGTCCTAACACCTTCTTCCTGTCATAAAAATATCATCTCCATTGCTACCGCTCATCACTCGCTTCATGATTTTATCAATATTTCTTTCCTTCATAGAACAAGGAACATTTCATCATACGCATGAATGCATTTTAACCAACCATGCATGCACTTTTTAAACGTAAAGCATTCGTTCCTCACAAGTAAAAATTATGGGATTGCTTGTCAGCTGCATAAACCGATAAAAAGATGTTTTTACAAATAATTTGCTCATTTCTGTTCGTTTGGCACTCGTGCATTTGATCTGGATGGACAGCCCTGACTCAGTATTTATTCAGATAAGCACCCTATCAAATGCATTTTTGTGTTGAAATACTCTCTTCAATAGCATTAGGTTTACTGTTCTATCTTGATGTCTTACTTATTGATCATCCGTGTCATTTACTCGGTTTTGCATGGTTAAACGCATAAACATGTTTGGTCCTTTTCGTGCACTCCCTACCGCAACCGTGTGAGCGCAGTGCAGAGCAAATTTACTATTTTCTTACGCATGCACGGCATAAACGTACTCGATCGTTTTTTGTAATGCACTTTTCAATCCAGTAAGTATTTCCATTCATGCCGGCTCATACAAATAAAGTAAATCTTGCATTTTTTATCACTGCCAATTTCTTACCATTCAAAACAAACATTTAATCACTCCCGTCTTACATCTCAATCCTTTCATCAAATCATTTACACCTATTCGATCACCTCCTCTCTCCTTCCGTTCCAATCGCTTGCATCCATTTGATCATCTACACCTCCATATACCCAGCCAATCACGCTTCCGATCCCTTTTTGAGACCGACCCGCATTCACCAGCCCTGTGCTGCCCACTACCGCTCGCATCAACGCGTCACAATTCGTTAAAAAGCCCATTCATGCACAACAATCATTTTTATACACTGTGCACGCGCAAAACCCATCATGATTTATGCATTCCTGCACATTTTATTTCATCCTAAAACCAATCAGAAATGATATTTTCTAGACTTGTGTGGAAGAGTGTACAAAATAAAAAATTGGTATTTAAGAAAAAAAAAGAGGAGGCCTTAAAAATATGAGTGCACAGAAAAACGACCGACGAAAGGTTTTGGACCGAATCAATTTGCGTAGGAGAAGGACTAATGCAGCTCCGCCTGTCAATACTGTCGAGACATTTTATGTAACACTTGATAATATATCAGCAGACTTGGATGTATCAAGCATTCTGTTCAACCTGTTTCCGTTGATTGAGCGTTTTCGTGATACCAGCACGCTTACTAACATCATTCTTTATTTCTATCCGGTTAAGAAGAGGAACGTGCTCAGCAGAAAAAGCCTGAACAGGCTGAAAAGACGCGTGTACACGGATAGTGGTGAGCAGTGCACGATCTGTTTGCAGGGCTATGCGAAGAATGATGTGCTTAGGGTGCTTACGTGCAGACACGAGTTTCACTGCAAGTGTGTTGATAGATGGTTACTGAGGAGCAGTGATTGCTGCCCTGTGTGTAGAAAGAAGGTGGGAGAGGGTGTTTAATTTAATTCCTGTGTTTTTTATAGACCAGTACTAAATAAAGATGGATTTTCTTTGTTCATTGTTTGATTATGAGTTGATGGTTTGTTTTTACGTTTTCATGATGTAAATTAATTGTTTTTGTATTTTACGGCTCGCGTTGAACACTCTTTCTTGTGAATAAGGAGAACTGTAAAGGATCCTCTCCTATTCTACAAATGCTTTTTTGTGACCGTGTTCCCGTGCACATATCTCTACTATCCCGGTGTATCATTATGCTTAATGTACAAACAAATGCACTCTACCATAATCACAGGCTTAGATCCTTTTTTTGATAATTTACTTATCGTTCTTGTTACGTTTCGCATCACCGCATTGAACAGATTTGTACTCATCATCTCATTTTTCTTTACCACTTTTTTACTAAAATTACGTTTATCGCCTCACACAATAACATCCAAATAACCCTATGCCAACATCAGGTAAAACAAGTCATCTTTTACAACCAAAATTAATTGCTTTTTGAATGTGAGTATTGTGTTCAGGTGTGCAACATAATCATTGAGTTGGGTAGCAGGCATGGTTACAGCGCGAACGAGAAGTACCGGACAAAACGTATAAAGTTTGCCTGTGAAGTGTGAGGTACTTCGATTTGTGGATTAATTCTAGGGTGTGAGCATTCAAGCAATCAACTTGTGTTACTAATGCACGATACAAATAAATAGATGTTTAAGAATGCTGTTCTAGAACCAATTCCTGGTTTTAAGATATAAACGGATCGGTATGCATTAACAAACTTGTTTTTCTCGTTTATTAGTACTTTAGTCACATGAAAAGCACAACAACAACGTTATAAGATACATATTTGGCAATCACATCCGTGATGTACCGTTATTTGATGTATGAGCCACACTTATCTATTTTGACTGACATAAACAGTACTTAGCAGCGACGAGCACTTTTATATGTCGTTGCTCTTAAAAACGATTATAAAAATTGGCAAGTTCAAAGGAAAGAATAGTCTAAGATAACACACCATCAAGGAAATTATTCGCCGAAAGGTATGATATAGATCATCATCTGTACCGGTATTCGTTGTACACGATTTACGTGCTTCTTCCTGAATTCTTAGAACAAACAAAGTAGCACTAATTAGAGACTGCGTAACAAATGATTGGAAAATATTTGTATTTTTGTTTAAGGAAGATATTTTGTCCAATGCTGGCACAACCGAGCCTTTTTTGAAAGTCAGTTTGATTATCACTTCACAGTCACAACGGTAAGCGAGCACTTATTCTAGCACCTCTAGTTCAGGTATATTGTGATTTATTCAAACTTTTTCGTCAAAACATTTGCTTACGAATCCTTATAAAGAGTTCACAGGCAGCAAATTATTGAATAAGAGTGTATGTCAGCACTCAATACAGATACATTAGCTACAAGATCTGTCACCGTAGTATAGTTCAATACTTTACATGTTTACAGGCATGTGCCGCTCAGCAACCTATTAATTGATGTATTTATTGTCCCAAAGCCTATTGAATAGCCCTCCTGTCCGTATACAGCGCCAGAACAATCATTTTTTATTTTTGCCGTGGTACCCACGCAATGAGAGACATGAAGGCATCGGTCACCAAAACGCTCGATAGTACCAATACAATCACTTACACACTCAATCATCAAATAGATCGCATCTTACCGGCGAATGATATGTTTTATTTATGCACATACGCCCATGATCCTTTGAATGACACACGGACAGGAAAGGTGTTGAAATGCACACCAACATTTGAAATAAAAGCAGAGGCTAGCAACAATGGTTGCCTCGATGCCACTTTTATTGACGAGTGCTTGTTTACCGTGAATTCGGATTGTATAGACATTCTTGATCAGGACCTTAAGAGGTTACAATCAATGTCATTAAAAAACGTAGGACTGTGCGTCAGCGCACGGGAACGTAACTTGACCGTGGGTTGTTTTGATGGCACCGCATGGAGTGGTGATGGTACAATATGGCGTAATAGCAGTGTAATGAACGATGATACGGCATTAGTGAACGAAGTTAGCACGAGTGCAAGAAATACTACCGTACAGGCCAATATCAAAGCACCGAGCAGCAATGATTCAGCACATAGAAATGGTAGAACGGTGAGAGTAAGCGATAAAGCACTGTGGGCAGTGCACATGTCCACCAGCACTAAGTACGTGTGTATGGGTGGCGATGACCAACACTTATACCTCCTTGATAATGATCTAACACTAGCACATAAGATAAAAATAGGCAATATCGTAATTTCAATCTGTTCCGAGGGCTCTCACATCTTGGTAGGGACCTATAACAACAGATTGTATCGATTGGACACACGAATGAATAAAATAGTTGAGGAATGCATGACTATGGGCAGTGCTTGGCGTATTAGGAAAGAGAATGGTGGAATGATCATGCCTTGCATGTACGATGGCATAGTACTTATGGATAATACTTCGATCAGTACTATGTATGAGAATGAATATGATGTTGTAACACATTATAAGATTGATGGGTTAGTTTACGATTGTTGTATTTATGGTAATGCGTTGTACTACGCTAGCTTTTATGAAGGGAAGGTGTTTAGGTACGATGTATTTGGTGGCACAGCTTAATGCTGCTTAACATGGCAGACGTACTCTTTAAAAGCAACATAAAGAAATAATACCAACTTAAACATGGCAAGTAAAACGTAGAGCAGCTTAAACGATTGGTACACCTCCTTCTACGATAAAAAAATGATATTTACAAGGAACAGGCCGTACAATGTGTAACAAATCGTTACATGAACACTTAGAAGCGTTAAAAAGGATTGGAGTAATCCAAAAGTTTTATTAAAGGTAGACGTACCGATGGTCCTGTGTACAGCAATCAGTGATAGGTAATGAATCCGTGCAGTGTACCACTTATGCTTCACTTGCACGGCATGGCAGGTTAAAAATTACTTGTTATGATCGTTATTGTTGCAGAATGATATTTTATTTAACATTAATGTTAGGGGATCTGTAATTTTATGAGTTATTATTGTTACCTAGGTAGGATGTTTTATTTAATGTTGATGTGAAGGAATGGTAATTTAAACAATCATGTTCTGATATGATTATGAGGGCCCTTCTTTAATTGGTATGTAATGTGCTGCTGCAAGATATGCTTGCCTGTATTGCCGAACAATGCGAAGTGATGTATGATCCAAGAGCATTACTTGTACGTTTATCAAAGATGAAATACCTAAAGAGAACGGAAAAGAAGTTGTTTCTTGGTAAGTACCACCTAAGGTACGTATTACCACAGAGTGATGAGCTTATCACGAATGACCGGTATGTACTGTTCATACGATGAGGTGCAGGAATACGGTTGATCAATTGGTAGGAATGATCGCTATAAAATGAGTGCAGCTGCACGTTTATTGCTTGATTTAATAACACATATCGCTAGGAATGGCATAAATTGGATGGTGTATTTCGGTAATGATACGGTTGAATGCAAGTGAAGGATATGCCTGTTTTAACACGCCTTGACAGTGGCACGTTTTTGTTGAAGAATGGTGATTTATTTATTGTTAGCATGAAATATTGCCATTTTAAAAATAGTTTTAATAGTAACTCTTCAGTGGAACACGCATTGTAATACGAACATGGATTGGTATGGGTGTTATAGAGCGGTGTATGTGCCTTCTGTGTGAATTGTTCTTTTATGGTTTGATATTTGATAGAACTGTCTTAGGTAAGCACTTCATTACCAGTACGAGTGTATAGCACCGTTCAAAGGATCTGTGGCAGAGTAGAAAAATATTTATTTTATTGTATGAGTTTGCTTTTTAGTGGTAAGTAATTGATTTAGTGGTAAATTGGCTGTATCTAGGAACTGTACCTGGTGGCGAGAAAAGGGTACGAACAATCATGGTTTGTGCCATAATAGCATGAGGGTGAGAAAAAGGTACGAAGAGAACGGTTGATGGTAAAAATGTGCGTGAAAATGAACTCATTTGTGTTATAGTACGCAGTAAAATGCGCGTTGAAGGTGTTCTACCAATCAGCTATGTTTGCACCTCTTAGCCGTTCATGTGGCACCGTGGTACATGCACTATGGAGGTATTAAATATAACAAATATGTGGTGAGGAGTAGCACAAACAGGTATATTTATAAAATAAAGAACGATCAATAGTATGTGCTGTTATGACGTACTCCTTGTGCATCCTTAGTACTAACAAAGTACTTCCCGGCATGTCTTGCATTCAGCACCGGCGTGCTACGCTAATTTTCTATTTTATCTTTTCTGTTGGTGTATTCTCGTTTAACCGTGTGCTCTTCATAATTGATAAATCATCGTTCATTTCTCCTTTTAATTTTTTATAAAAACAAAAAAAGTGCGCCCCCCTAATGCAGATAAATTTAAACTTCCGTTCAACCAAATACTCCCTAGAAGTTGAAGAAAACGAGAAGATTGGCGCTGCGCGCGACAAGTTCTTTGACATGATAAAAGAGAACCATTCAGACGTAAACGTAAATGATCTTAAATTTGTTGGCATGGCCAAGTTTTTGGACAACGAAAAAACGTTCTCCGAGGAGGGCATTAAGCCTGGTTCGACCATTTTGGTGCACAAGGCGCTGCCCAAGAAGGAGAAAGAAAGGGAAGACAGGAAAGAGACGAAGACGAGCACCAATACAGGTGCACCTATGCCGCCATTCACCAACATGAACGTGCCGCCCGTTGATGCGTTCGGCGGCGGTATAAACTCGAGCGTAATCAACAACCAGATGAACCTGCTGCTCAACGATCCGGAGACCCTCGATCTGACAATTAAGACAATCATGCCCTCCGCAACGAACGAGGAGAGAGAACTGTACAAAAAGACGTTTGTGGAAAATTGCAGAAGGTTTAAGGACAATCCTGAGCTGCTCAGACAGATGACCAGCCAGATGCAGGGCATGATGGGCGGCGGCAACGCCAATCCATATATGCCGGTCAGTCCGGCCATGAATCCTTATTCGCCCGTTATGCCGAATTACGGTGTTCAACCACCACCATACAATCCATATTACATGAATCCATACGCACAGCAGCAGTATCCTATGCCATCGCCGACCATACCGTGTTTCCATGGTTTTTATCCGCTCAACTACAGCATACCTGGACAGCCAAAGGAAGATATGGAGAAGAAGTTTGAGGCACAGCTTGAGATGCTTAATGAAATGGGATATACTAACAAGCAACATAATTTGCAGGCTCTGGCACAGACCGGCGGAAATGTTAATGATGCTGTTAATTTGTTGTTGGATTGGTTGGCAGGGCAGAAAAAGGAGTAGATGGGTTGCTATTAAAGGGTAGTTAAAGAATTTTTTGTACTTTCGGTAGGTTTGTTGTGTAGCTGTTCTATTGGTAATGTTTATTCTTTATTGCTGTTATGATAAGGTGGTTTATTAACGATAGGTGGTATGTTGAATGCGTATAGTTCAGTGGTTGGCATTGAAGTATTGTCATGGCCTTTTATCCGAACTTAAATATTTACTTTACAAACGTTAGTAACGGCCGTAACAAGATAAATGCGATCTAACTCACACGATGCTATGCCATACGTGATGGCACGGTTCATTTGAAAGCTTAGGATGGTTTTGAGACGAACACTGATATGAGGGCCAATATTCAGTCACTAAAAACGATTTTACTAACTGTCGCTTATTCATCTCCTCGTACAACACAATCCAAACTAACACACTCTTCTGGTCCGCTGAGACGATCGTTGTCACATGCCCTTAGTTCCTGATGGAAATAGTGTACCATCTGCTCAATGCCTTCATTTTAACATAGAGATGTATCGCAACCGCAATGCTGATCTTAATGTAAGCCGTGATTTATGCGACACTTCCTCTCATGAGCACTTTGAGGAATTTTTATTCTCAGATCTGCAGATAAATGTGATTCTCGATAACCTAACACCCAGTCAGGAAAGCGTGCTCAATACTCAACCTATTATTATTATTCTTAGAAGAGATGCTAGACGATTTTTCACTTATACCTTTCACAGAACGACCATTTTCTCCTGTCAATATCTGTAAGGCAATAGACAAACATGAATGTGCCAACACGTATTTATTAATGCAGCTCATTAGTTGCCCGATTAACAGCAACAATTTTCTAAAACAATGGAGGTGAATTCATGAAATTAGCAAATCTAAAACTGCTTGTCACGCTTTTATCGGTGCATGACAGTTAGACTATCTCACAACATACGGTACGAATTGCTTTCTTGAATGACATGTTATCCGTAGTATGTTCGAATAGATCACAATATCATACCAACTCTTATTTTTGGTAAATACTTCATTACTGTTAACATGACAGAGCAGTGATCTCAACACAAGCGGTTTTAAATCGCTTCACAGATCAACAAAGACCTTAATTTTTTATATCAACAAATTTTCTGCAGCAATGGCGTTGATCATATGCAAGAGACACAATCCATTGTGTTTAGATAGATAGTATCACTTATGCTGTTACATGTCATTAACATGTTATAGATTGCTTGAATACCATGAACAATGAGACCTGAGAATATTACAATCATAAAAGAGAAATGACCAGCACCAGAAGATCGAAAAATAACTTAACTTTTATTTATAAAGCTCGAAAATGGTTTGTTCTTCATTGCACTTATCTAACCACTCACATCGTTCCTTAAGAGATCTACATCTTGACGAAAAAAACTCACGGAGAATATGCGCCTCTTCTCTAGATATGTAGGAACTTTTATAACAGAACACAAGTACATCAAGCTGTTTGAACGTCTCAAAAATATTTTCGATCAAGTTATTTAGCTGATCTGGCGAAATTTCTGATAACTTTTGAATTTTTTCTAACCTTGTCCAAGAATCTGTTGGTGCTTCAAATATCACCAGTTTCTTAATACCTGCGAAAGCTTCAAAATATTGACACAACATAAGTTCGATTAGTTCTTCATAAGCTGAATCTATGCCAATATGAAGAGTGTGGAGTTTTAGATGCACCACATTCTTACCCTCCACCAAATTCCGTTTGTTCACATCAACTTTTGCAGGTTGGTGTTTACCATCATTTCGATTGGTGAGGCTATCAAATGATGACCGAATGGATCTAATGTTTGTAACAAATCTTTTCAGCTTGTTTAAACGGATTTTCAAAGATTTAAATATACCATAATTTCGATTGGTGAGGCTATTAAATGACGACCGAATGGATCTACCGTCCACATAAAATTCTTTTAGCTTGTCCAAAGGTTCTATTGACCTTACCAGTTCACCAATGGTCATCTTAGAATTAACAAAAAGTTTTTCTATTGGACCTTTTAAACTGCTTAGTTGTCTTCGTAAAAGCTCATACTTGACATCCCAACTTTTTACAAGAATTTCAAGATGTTTCAACGTTTCCAGTTCAGTTATCATCTGCATGAGTTCTTTATCTACACACCAGCAATTTATTCTCAGTGTTTCCAACTTTTTCATTTGTATTCCACTGGTTGACCAGCTATTCAGCCCTAAATCATGATGGCCAGTATCAATTTCTAGAATTTCAAGAGCAGCAAAGTCTAGGAGAGATATATCGAAAACACTACAAACATTCCATGCTACGTTAATACTAAAACAAATCAATATTAAATGCTTAAGTTTGCTTCGGTTAATTTCTCTTAGAAAATTGAAAGTGATCTCTACATCCCTGATGCTAATTACTAAATATTCTAATCTAGCACCATAACACTGAGAAGGCGAAAGCAGCTGTTCACAATATTTCTCGCCTAATGATAAATGCCGTAAACCATCTACTATTTGGTCACTGAGTACAACACTCGCATATTTACCCATGTTTACCGTCAGATTGCATAGTTTTGTGCACTTATTTAGATTGATTTTGATTATTACACTTTTTTTACTAACCGGAGAATATGGATAGTCAAAACACCTCTGGCACTTACTGAAGCAGATAGTCTCATAAGACTTTGCAAAAGTTACCTTAATTTCTTTCAATTTTTGCACAGTATCCTTGAAAGTGAGAAAAACACATCCAGTAAACCATAGACTTTCTAGTGTCATGTTACTCACTTTCTCTAAGAATTCATCCGTAACTAACATATGTTTCACTTTAAGTGTACATAATCTTGGAATCGTTTCGAGACTAATAAAATCTTGCACTGTTTTACAAGATTCACCGTTCCGATGTGCATGTAGATGCGTCAAGTTCCGAATATATAAATCGGTAATGAAACTAAATTTCTGCATTGTATCACCAAGATCGACATCAGATAAATTTCGTGAGGAACTG